AATGAAAGAGAAAAATAGACTGAATTAATTACTAATCATATAATTTCTACACCAAACTTTTGATGTAATTTCAGCAAAAAGCCTTTCTCCCATCTATGGGGCACAACCATATCTTAAGATATGTTTATTTGTGGTTGTAGTACTCTTTTTATTTTAAGATAATTGATTTTTTTTTTCATTTTACTTTTATATTAAAATTTTAGAGATAATTTATTGTTTTATTTATATTATTTTTAAAAATAAATTATTAAAATCAAAGATAATGATAAGATTAAAGTAAGAAAAAATATGTCTCTTTTAACAAAAAATGATTTAGAGATAATTATTTTATATTATCTTTTAATACAATTTTACGTGTCATTTAAATAATTAATTTTTTTAATTTATTTGGACTCATAATATTAAGTACATCCACCCATTTAATGATATATACAAATTGTATAAAAACTTATGCAAGAAATTTGTTTTTATATTACTATCTCTCCCTTAAAATATAAAAAAATAAGTACTATTATATTGGGATGAGAGTACTATGGTTTTTAATTTTTAATATTTTAAATATATATAAAATCTCTTAGGAAAAGTATTTTTTTTTTTTGATCAGCCAAATAATTTTTTTTTATTAATATAGAGTACAAGGGGTACTCTAATCCATATTTACAATACATCCATCATCGTTATCAAAATTCCACTCACCTTTTACAAAATAAGAAACAAAATTAAGCTTCACATAGAGTTGGAAACTGGCACCAATCACTGTAATTGAACATAGCAGATTTAGATTTCTCCTTTATCCAACCAAAGGTCTTTGTTAACACTAACTCAAAGATAGTATTTTCATTCCAAGTAAGGTTGTTAAACACTATACCATTAAGAAAGTACCAAATGGCCCATGCTGTTGTAACAACAGAAAGCACCCAACAACTTTGAGATTTTATGCCAGGCTTAAGTGAACAAAGTTGCAAAAGGAGGAGGAAGGCGTTACCAACGAGAGAAAAAGGAGTTCCCCACCAGCAGTATAATCGAGTCCAGATGTTTTGGGAAAATCGGCACAATGCAAAGAAGTGGTTAATATCTTCCACACTATCACCACAAAAAACACATTTTGGGTTGGAAGAAAGGTCAATACCACGATTGAGGAGGTTGTCTTTAGTGGGTAGTCTATTCAAGAAGAGGCGCCATGCAAAAACACTAATTTTTGATGGCATAAACTGATTCCAAATCACCTTGCAACATTTCTCATCAAGGCACGGAGGGAAATCATCAAGAAATTTGTAAGCTTGCTTGGAGGAATAACCTGTTGAGCAGTGCTTCCAAATGAACTTGTCAAGTCTTCAATCTGATAAATTAAGATTTCGGAGAGAATCTTCAAGCCTCTCAAGCTCATCCAATTCTCTATCGAAGGGAGGTTTGCGCCACTGAAAAGCCCACCCACCTGCATTACCCAGCTTCAATTCGGCAACCAGAGCATCCTTGCTTAATGTAAGGCAAGAAAGGCGAGGGTAAGAAAACATCAACGGAGAGCTGCCCATCCAAGCATCCTTCCAAAATCTAGTGTTTGAGCCATCACCAAGCTTACGGATAAAACCATCATCAAAACACCCAAAAGCTCTATCACAATCCCTGCCAATAGATAAGATATCCTTCCAAAAGGGAGAGAGGCTCGGAGAGGCAATGTTAGAAATAGAAGTAGAAGAAACTCCATCATAATATTTTCTAACAATAATTTTTTTCCACAATTTCTCATTTCCTTCAGCATCATAAAAATTATTCCACCATTTTCCTAGTAAAGCAGAATTCCTAATAGAAAGGTTTGGGATGCCAAGCCCTCCCTTTGATTTCGCAAGGCAAACTCTCCCCCAATTAACCCAAGTAATCTTATTATAGCCGCTTGAACTCCCCCACAAAAAGTTTTTTTTGTATTTTCTCTAACTCACTAACAACACCTTTAGGGACCTTAAAAATAGAAAAGTAAAAAAGAGGGAGAGCCGAAAGTACCGACGTGAGGAATGTGATGCATCCTCCAAATGATAAGAGCTTTCCCTTCCAGGTTGCCAACATAGACCGGAACTTCTCAACCACTGGTTTCCAGAATCTGAGACAATGAGGGTTGCCACCAACAGGGAGTCCCAAGTAAAGGAAAGGCAGCTGCCCACACTTTGAATTAAGGGTAGAGGCAGCCATATTAAGCCAATTCTCCTCAATATTAATACCATACAAGGTACTTTTGCTGAAGTTTATTTTAAGCCCTGAGATAATTTTAAACCATCTAAGGATAAACTTGAATGCTCTGATTGACTTAAGAGAAGCTTCCCCAAGGAGAATAGTGTCATAAGCAAATTGGAGGTGGGAAACAGATAAATCTCTATCAACAGCTATACCAGTAAGGAGATTTTTCTTTACAGCTTCATGAACAAGAGCATGCAGACCTTTAGCAGCTATTAAAAAAAGGTAAGGAGAAAGGGGGTCACCTTGCCTAAGCCCTTTTTGCATTTTGAATTCCTGCGTGGGGCTCCCATTAACAAGAATTGAAACAAATGCAGAAGTTAAGCACTCTTTAATCCACCCACGCCATTTGTCTCCGAACCCCAAGGAAGACTGCATAGAGTCAAGGTAATCCCAGTCAACTGAGTCAAAAGCTTTTTCAAAGTCTACCTTAAACAAGATGCCCATTTCCTTCCTTCTTTTTAAATCATGCACCAGTTCATTGAGTGCTAAGACACTATCAATAAGCTGCCTTCCCTCTAGAAAAGCAGATTGGGTCATGCTGATAACCTTTCCAATGACTTTCCGTAGCCTATTAGCTAAAACTTTAGCTAAAATTTTATAAAGGCTGCCAACCATACTAACTAGCCTGTACTCTTTCAAAGTTGTGGGATTTTTCTTCTTGGGAACAAGGGTGATATATGAAGCATTGATACCTCTGACCAACCTTCCATACTTGTGAAATTCTTTGATGAAGTTAGTGATATCTCCTTCAATAGTGCTCCATACAGACTTTATAAAGTGGAAGTTGAAACCGTCAGGTCCAGGGGCTTTGTCACTTGCACAAGAGAAGACTGCTTCTTTGATTTCCTCATTAGTAAACTCAGCCTCCAACATTTCTCTGTCGTTTCTAGATAAGCGGTTAGAGAACATATGCTCCAAGGATGGTCGGTTTTGAGGTTGGGAGGAAAATTGATTTTTAAAGTGGTCCAAGATGATTAACTTGACTTGATCAGGATCATCAATCCAGGTTCCTTTGTCATCAACACCATGAATCATATTTCTCTGCCTTCTCCCATTTGTTATTCTATGAAAGAAATGGGAGTTTGCATCCCCATCTTTAATCCAACTAGCTCTAGACTTTTGCCTCCACAAACTTTCTTTTTTCTTTAAACATTGCCAAAGGTTTTCAAATCCCTCCTTCCTTTTGTGCATATCATCCTCTGTAATATCATGGCCTTCACATTTGATGTCAATCGCCTCAATATTCTTAGGAAAAGTATTTCTCAATTGGAATTTTTAAAAATTAGAAAAAAAAAAGTCTAAAAATTACCTTGTTTAAATAAATTTCTTTGGAGAAAGACTAAACAACTTTTTTTTAAAGTAAAAATGAAGTGATATTGATTTCTCTTGTGCTGCTTTAATGAGACAATTAGTTTTAGAATAATGACAAATAAGATTAAAATTTAAGTTATGTCATTTAAAATATTAATACATAAATTTTATATTATTTAATAATTAATTTTTTTTTATTTTATTAGGGTTTATATGTAATATTATATGTATTAACTTATTTAATAATATAATTTATATTACATTATTAGTTTCAAATCTTGGTTTCAAAATTTCCTGCTAATTTTTTCACTGTCCAGCATGTAAATGTTAATATTACATATTTTTGAATTGATATTTTTATATTTTTGGATAATATAAAGATAAAAAAAAAAAAATAAAAGCTAAAGTATTGCATTCACAAACTACGACATAAGCCGCCAAACTAACCCATTTTCGCACGTAAACCCGCTAAAATATTTTTATCCTTACAAGCCCCTTAACTTTGGGATATAAGCAAATTAATCCTTTGTTAATGCTTTCGATACTAGTTTAAAAATCTGATCATGGCAATCAAAGGAAATAGTTAAATCATAGTAGTGTATACACTTTTCAAATTTTAAATAAAATTAATCCCTACACTTAAACAAGCTTTACTAAAAAAACTTACAACAAAAAAAAAAGGTATGAATCCTATTAGCAGACATTCCAAAACCCTATCATGGTTTTCATCTTTCAAGAAATCCATTAAACATCATTTTCCAAATTTCTCCCAACTCATCCCAAAATCAAAATAAAAAATTAAAAGGGCAAAAAAGTCAAGATGCATATTTTCAACATTAATATCCTTGTATTTTCTAATGCGAGCAAGTATAATTTTTTGTATTGATCTAATTATAAGAGGAAGAACAAGTAAAGCTGAAATGAAATCTATTTATGAATTAGATAAGGACAAAATTTTAGATATGCTTTAAATCAATTTTAGTTCTAAAGATTTATTAATTAGGGGGGAAAAAAAAATAGTCATGCTTAGCTTCTTGCCTGCATATATAAATAATGTGCAAATGAAATTCAATTGTAACTCTCAATTATTTCATTCATTATTTAATAATTAAATCTAAAATCCCATTTATTTTTACAATTTATTAATCTTTTAATTAGAGAAAATTTATCCCATAGGTTACATTTTGAGAGAGTTTAATTTAATGGTTAGCTTATTAGCTAATAATTCAATTTAATTTTTAGTTTAAAAAGTTAGTTTTTATTCTAAATTGCTTGTAAACTTTGTAAAATATTTTAGAATATTTTATTGTATAAAATTTCTATTAGT